CATATTTTTATATTTATATATTTACATATAAGCATATATTTATATGTAAATATATATTAAAGAGGTTATTTATACAAATAAATATTATATAAATATTTATGTAAATATTTATGTTAGTTCTTATATAGCTATTTATAATGAAGACTACCCTTCTCCTATATAAGAACATAGGAATATACTCTACAGTGTCACATATATGTTCACAGTAACATCTGAGTGATCTTAACTCTGTTAATGTGGGCCAGCAGGTGGGAAGGAGGTTAAGATGGCTGGATCGCACATAGCTGACTGTCCAGTTTGAGTCCTAGACCCAGTGGCTTGAAAAACATGCCAGGCATGTATGTGCATGCTCAAATTCTCAAGAAGAGAATAGAAAGAACCCCTAGTGGTATGTGGCCATGCTGCAATCCCTTATCCACTTTTTTCATCCTGTTGAGATTTTGGGTGCACATGCACATACACCTGTCATGTGTATCAAGCCACTGTGCCAGGATTCAAACTGTATGGTCAGCCATGTGGGAGCACTAGGCTGATTAGGAGAAATAAGAGTGATTCTATTTCAGACATTAAAAGGTAGAGTAAAATATTTAGTTAAAGCAAATACAAAAACTTGAATGAGAAACCTAAATTCTATTTTAATATCTTCCTTTTAAACTTACCTCTTTATTCTTTTATCAGAATATGGGTCTCTGTTTTTGACTCAGGAAAAAATTAAAAGGCTACTAAACACATAAGGTACAATATAAAAGACCACAGAAACTGAGAAATCACATGGCACTTGGAACTATGAAAATTTCAAAGTCACTTTTAATCCTAATGCTTGCTTACCCAGCTGTGATTCCTAGGAAGGACAGGAAGTTTCTGTTCAAAAATAATAGAAGGGAAAAATTTTTTTGATCATTATTTTTCTTAGTTCAAAATACCAGAAAACCCTAATTCATTGTAGTAACATAATTTTTCTAGCATTAAATACTTATTTATATAATACCAATGCTAAATTTTGTCATTCAACTAAAATACATGTTTATCCATCCTTCCCAAAAGTGATGCATATAAAGTTCCCATCCAATAAATATTTAAGACTCCTATGTGCAAGCACTGTGTCAAGACACAATCCCAGGCACTTAAAGTCTAATGTGAAAGCCAGACAAGAAGAGTAATGATGACAGTACAGTATGATAGCTATTGTGATAGAGGAAGCCAAAAAGGAGGACATTTAATTGAACTGGATCAAGGACACCTTCTTAAGGAGGCTGACACTATGTTTCAAAGAGTAGAAATCAAACTAAGCAGAGAGAAGGAGATCATAAGAACAAATAAAAAATAGCACTGTGTGAGTCTGTTTCCATAACAAAGTGCCACAGACTGGTGACTTAAAGAACTAAATTTATCTTCTCATACTTCTGGAAGCTAAAACTCCAAAATCAAGATGTTTTTAGGACTCGTTTTTCCAGCTTCCTCTAAACCTTAGTTTACAGTTGACCATCTTCAGCATCTGTCTCTTCACACCTGTGTGCACTTCTCTATGTACTAATTTCCCTTTTTTAGAAAGATAGCTTTCATACTGGATTTGAGCCCACTCTAAGGATCTCATTTTAATTTGATTACTGCTGTAAAAACCCTATCTCCAAATAAGGCACATTACAAGGGTTTGGAGTTTGGGTTTGACACTGAATTTTGGGGGATAAAGGAGAGAGACACATTCAGTTCATGAAAAGCATTACGTTTTCATTTCAAGACAGTAGAGATGTTTCTGCTCTATTCTTTTCTCAAAACTTACCCTAAACAGAGGAGAAGATGAAACAAACACAAACTTTATTTTCCAGAAACCAAGAGATATCTGTATCTGGATTCATAGATGCAAATCTATGAAGAGAAAATAGAAGTGGTAGTGACTTAGCAAGAAAAAGAGCAAAGCTTAAGACTTGTTGGCAAGGGGTAGAAACCAATTTTCTCCATGGGAAAACAGGATGACCCCCCAAATGGATGCTATTGGAGAAGACAAATGGATGATAGGAAGGCAAAAAAGAAAGACGGTATTAGAAAGTCTCAATAGAAGTCATGGACACCCATGTGCCTGTTTCTATCCAAGTGCTATTCTATTCAGGTGCTAATTGTCTCAGCACCAAATGGAAATCAGAAGAGTATTCTCTGGATGAACTAACCTAGACACATCAAGTGTAGAGGCAGCACTGGTAAAGACAAATGCCTGGCTGAAAATGGAAGGAATGTATAAAATTCTGTGTGCTGTCCATAAGCCTCTAAGCCTCCATCTTTAGTTTTCTTTTTGTGCCCATACTATTTCCTCTGAGAATTAGAAGGTAATATTAAAAAAAAAAAAAGACAGAAAAAAAGGGAACTCTACGAAATTAAAAATTATTTCCTCTTCTCTTCCCTACAGAAAAAAGGAATCAGTAAAATATTTAGAACATAAAGTCAAGAAAATATGCCAGAAAGTAGAGTCGAGAGAGAGAGAGCGAGAGAGAAATCTTTTTTAAAAAAGAAATTTAAAGAGGCCTAGACTTTGAATACAAATTCCATAAAGAGAAAATGAAGGGAAATTGATCAAAAATAAACACAAGGAAATCATCTAGAACTAGAGATGAGTTTCCAGACTGAAAGAGAATTAAAAAAACAAAAACAAAAACAAAAAACACCACCCTCACACTAGGTCACATCATTATAGAATATCAAAAAAAAAAAAAAAGAAAAAGAAAAGAATAACATATATCCAAAGCCTTCATATAGACTGAGAATCAGAAGGCCTTACAATCAATTTGAGAAATCAATCCTCAAAGTCAGAAAGACAATGGTTTCAATATTCTAAAGGAAGATTATTTTCCATCTGAAATAGTCATCAGTAAAAATTCAAGCAAGTATGTCGAGTGAATAAAGGTAGTTTTAGACATGGAAAGATCTCAACATGTTTACCTCTCATGCACCTTCTCTTGGGAAGCTCCTAAATAATATGCTTCACCAAAACAAAGAAATAAAGCAAGAAAATGGAAGAAATGAGACCCAGAAATCAGGGAACCCAACATAGAAAGGCACTAAAAGCAATTCCCAAGATAGCTTTACAACAGTGATTCTCAACCTTGCCTACCTATTAGAATCACCTGGGGAGCTTTAAAAAACCCCAAAGCCCACGCTATAACATAGTCGGATCTCTGAGGGTGGGTGCAACTGAGGCATCAGCAATTTTTAAAGCTCCCCAGTTGATTCCAATGTGCAGAGAAGGTTGTGAGCCATTGTGGTAAAGGAAAGTCCCAGAACAGCCATGAAACAAACTTCAAGAACAACCAGCACAGGTGAGAGCAGAAGGTAAAAGGGATCCAGGAGAGGGAAAAAAAAACACAAACAAACAAAATCAGAACTGATGAGTTATACTGACAGGCACAAAATGGAAAATTGTGCAGAAATTTGCATCAGGAGGCATTTTGTAGAACAGGCACAAAACTGAAGGAAGACAAATGTTCAAAGGAAGCTAAGAAAATAGAAAAGTAAAATATTTTAAAAGTTGTAAAAAAGAGAAGTAAAGAAAATGTTATCAGAGTATATTAAGTGGTTTGGAAGTAAGGAAAACATTTAAGAAGTTTTAACAAGGAAAATCTGCAATACTGAATAATTATATTAGGAAAAATATTGAAATACAACTAGAAATTTTCAATGATAACGAGGGGGAGAAGTGAGTTAAGAAGTCTAAAATTGAGCAGCAGGTTAACACAATTCAGGGCTAAATAACAAGACAAACATCTAGAGGATATGGTGGGATGAGTAATATTTCCCTCCCCTAAAGAGGTCCCTGTTCCAATCTCTGGAACCTATGAATGTCACTTTATATGGCAAAAAGGATTTTGCAGAAATTAAGGCTCTTGAGATAGGGAGATTATCCTGGACTGTCCATGCAGGCCCAGTGTAATCGCAAATATCCTTGTAAGAGGAAGGTGAGAAAGCAGCAGAGATTGGAGTGACACAACCAGGTGTCCAAGGACACAAGAAATGCCAGCAGTTAAGAGCAGCTGAGAGAGGCAGAGAAATCTCCATAAGGAAGCAGTTCTAGCTGATATCACCCTGACTTTATCATCTTAAGACTCATTTCTAACTTACCTTCAGAAATATAAAAGAATACATTTGTGTTATATGAAGCCACCAAATCCGTGGTAATTTGTTATGGAAGCAATGGAAAATGCAGCTTAAATATTGGGGTGAAAGTGAGATTGAAGAGGTGCAAGGAGCACATATACATTCTTTCTTTCATTCATTCATTTACTGATTTTTGACATAGGGTATGTGAGCTTGCTGGAGAGAGAGAGAGAGACAGTGAAAGCACAAGTGAGAAATCACCATCCAAGGGGGATGGCCATGCTGCAATCCCTTCTTCTCCATTCTTCTGGGATTTAGGGCATGCACAAACATGCACCTGGCATGATTTTCAAACCTCCAGATTTGGGACTTGAACCATGGTCAGCCATGTGGGAGTCCAGTGCCATAACCACTACACCACCTGCTGGTCCCAAGGAGCACATATACATTTAAGTGTTATTTGACTTTTTAAAGAATGAGCTTTTCACTCACAGATAAAAAGTAAAATAATCAAACTGCACTGAGTTCTCAGTTAGGTGAGAAGATATGGCTGAGGCCTGAGTGATGAGCTTTGCCCCTCAAATCTTAACACATACAAAAATGACCCACAGGTCTTGTTAAAAGGCAGGTTCTGATTTAGCAGTTCTGCAGTGGGACCTCAGCTTGGTCTGCATTTTGTAAATTCCTTGCTAATGCCTATGTTGCTGGTCCATGGACCACTCTTTGGGTAACAAAAGATCTCAACTTAAGACCAATCTTCCAGACACTAGAGAAAGATCTAGAGAAAGGGAGGCAGACTCTAGAAGTGAGGAGAAAGGGAAGAAAGGGAGGGAACAGGGGAGAGGGAAGGAGGAAGTAAAGGAGAGGGCAAGGGAGGAGGGGAAGGAGAAGGAAAGGGAAGAGAGGGAGAAGGAGGGGAAAGGAATAGGAGAGGAGAGGGGGGAGGCACAGGGAGAGGGGGACTAGGAGAATGGGAGAGAGGCTTGGGAAGGGAGGGAGAGATAGAAGGGAAAACTACTTTGTGCTTAATTAAGCTAAGCTATTTTGACTTGATCCTTGAAGATATAGGGAGATACTGAATTTGTTTGGGGCAGTGGGTCAGGGTAAGTTTCTTTTTATTGTTATTCTTTATAGAAGAAGAAGGAATAGCAAACCAGAGACTAGACGCCTTTTACTATGCAACTAGCAGGATTCAACGATTGGCACCAGCCAGTGGTGTGGTGGTTAAGACAACTGGATTCCATATGGCCAACTGTAGGGTTTGAGTCTCAGACCAGTGGCTTTCAAAACACACCAGGCATGTGTGCATATACCCAAAATCCAGAGAGGAAAAGGTATTGCATCATCACCATGTCCCCGAAGGGGTGCCTTCTCATTTCCTCACACACACACACACACATGCCTGTCCTAGAGGAAATATTTTAAAAATTAAAATGAAAAGAAAACACTGAATAATAACTATTGAGGAAGGTATGATGATGCCGGTAGTTCATCTGCCTGCATAGACACACACATGCATGCACACAAAAGAGAGAACTAAATCAATCCATGTGTAAGTGAACTCTTTAACAATCTTTTGTCTCAAGTCCTAAACCAAAAGGAATTTTCAAGTAATGCCTAAAAAAAATTTTGTAGCATTTTTCATTCAGATACTTATTTAAGATTTATTAAACCCTCATCTGCCTGTGGCAAATGCACATTTAAATAAGGAAATAATAAGAAAAAATTTTTCAGAAAAGTTACATTGGGTAGTAAAATTACAATTGAAAAAAAAAAAAAAAAGTTAAAGCTTTCAGCCCATCATATCCCATACAGTGTTCACATTCTATACAGTGATCCAGTAAGACGATCTGCAGTATCCTCTTTTAACAGAGAAGAAATGTTCTTCACAAAAGTGAAATGTACATATTTGATTTTCCTAAAGCATTAGAGAGGGTTCTGCAAAGCATTCTCAGAAGAATTCTATGCATACGGATTAGATAGAATGGGAAGAGTATAATATGGACAAAAAGTCAGTTAAATATATTGAAGACCAAGCACTTATTAATAGTTCAGTATCAAAATAAGAGCAGTTATTGCATACAGTTCATAAGAAAACACCCTGGGTCCAATTCATTCCTTATTTTCTATTAATAGCTCCAAGGATCGTGTGACTAATGCACTAATCAATCTACAGAAAATGCAGCTCTGGGAGACACTGCTAATGCCTTGGACGACAATATTAAAATTCAGGATGATCTTGTTAAATTGGAGAAATGAGCCAAAATCAATAGAGCAAGCACACGCAGTTCTGCCAGGTGTTTCAAATCACAGAATTCAGGAAGTCCGCAAACATGAAATAAGACCATCCTGGCAGGCAAAAACCCAGTTGGTAAAGCTGTCCAACTCCTGTTTTCCCTCCCCTCCCTCACAGCCACATGGACCCAGACAGATGTTTAGAACTGTCAACTCCACATGATTTAACTCTACTACCTACAGCTTCTCAACTCTTTCC